GGGTTGTTGTTGTTTTTAACCAAAGGGTGCGCATGCGCCGTTGGGTGCTTGTGCACATCCCATGGAGACTTGGGGGAAAAAACCCTTTTTGCGACGGGACATGGGCGGGCACCGGATGCCACGAGCTACCACCGGAAACGTGATCAGACGCCCGCCCTTGCCCCGCGGTTTCTGGAAACTAGTACCTCGGAGGTACTAGTTTTTTACAGCGCATCTTCTGCAGGAAGCCTCGGGTTCGCCATGGGAGCTCTACGCTTCCCAGAGGTTGCGGTTTGATCGCGCCCGGAAAATCCGCCTATCTTCCGTCTCTGTAGCGTGGCTAATGCTCCGTGTGACCGCAGCCATTATAGAATATTGATGATGAATTCCCAAAATTTCCCAATCAATACCTCCCTAACAGGGATCTGAATGCACATGAACACATGAAGCTGACCAGCGGTCCCTCAAGGTCAGTACTCTCTCCTCAGACTGGCAGTGGCTCTCCCGGGTCTAAGGTCTTGCCCATCGCTTACTTCCTGGTCGTTTTTAACTGGACATGCCAGGGATGGAACCTGGGACCTCCAGCATGCCAAGCATAGGGCTCTTTAGCTTGGAGAAACGACGACTGAGGGGTGACATGATCGAGGTTTATAAGATTATGCATGGGAAAGAGCAGGTAAAGAAAGAGGTACTTTTCTCCCTTTCTCACAATACAAGAACTCGTGGGCACTCCATGAAACTGCAGAGCGGTCGGGTTAGAACGGATAAAAGGAAGTACTTCTTCACCCAAAGAGTGATTAACACATGGAATTCACTGCCACAGGAAGTGGTGGCGGCTACAAGCATGGACAGCTTCAAAAGGGAATTAGATAAGCATATGGAGCAGAGGTCCATCAGTGGCTATTAGCCACAAGGTATAGCTAGGGGCTCTGGGGCAAGTGATGCTCTGTCTTCTTGGTCCTTGGGGTCTTGACTTTAGAAGAACAATGGGGACTAGGCTCCTGGTCTCTCCACTGGGGAACCGATGGGACCGTGGCGGGAGATTTAAACCCACCAATGGGACCTAGGGGTGTGTCCCCAGGTGTGTATATAGTTGGCCAGCCGGCCGTTAGTCTTTGTCTTTGTTGTGTACCAGTAAACCATGCTGATCACTACATCAGTCTCCGTGGTTTCTTCATGCGTCTAACCCACTACACTTCAGTGGCGACGAAGGTGGGATCCCGCTGAGCAATCCAGCTGGGCTGGCGGGAATCGGCGAGGGAAGACAACGCACCGCTACCTACGTTCCTCCGAACGATGAGCAACGAGCAAGCCGCTTCCCAGCCACAGCTGAAACCGATCAGCACAATGGCTCTTGCTCCGGGATCAGGGCTGGTATCGCCCTTCGATACAGCACGTCCACAGCAATGGGGAGCCTGGATCACCGGCCTGAAGCAAGTCCTGATTTTCTACCAAGTGATGGATAAGGCCAGGATGAAGGGCCTGGAGAACCTTTTGTCTGAGGGCGCTGGGGACCACGACCCTGTCTCCCCACAGCAGGCAGCCTTTGTGGGCCGACAACTCCTCCCGGCGGTCCGTAAACGCCGTGAACTCGGGGCCTTCTGTCTTCGCAGGCCACTCCCTCACCACCCAGCCCAGCACCCGGGATAGGACGGGGTCCCGGGCCAAGCGGCGGGCAATGTCCGCAGCCTGCAACAATGCATCCGCAGGCCCTCCAGCTGGAGGACCCGGTGCGCGGGGGTCGGATCCTCAACCACGTCTGGCAGGGGAAGTCGGCTAAGGGCGTCGGCGTGGCCCATTGCTTTCCCCGGGCGGTGTTGGAGCTGGTAGTTGGCTGCCGAGGAGGCCCCAATAACCGACGTTTCGGAACCAGAGGGGCTTGCGCCAACAGCACACCCCAGTACAGGGAACGGGGCCCCGGAGGTCCCAGTACCGCCCCCCCCCGATGGTCCACTAGAGAATGGCAGTCCCCATCGTACTTAAAGGACTATGTGACTTAGGGTGGGTCCGAACTATGGGGGGAGGGATGGTGTGTCCGCCGACCGCCACCAGGGGCCAGCGAACACTCACCAGAGAGCTTGACTCTGGAGGAACAATGGGGACTAGGCTCCTGGTCTCTCCACTGGGGAACCAATGGGACCGTGGCGGGAGATTTAAACCCACCAACGGGACCTAGGGGTGTGTCCCCAGGTGTGTATATAGTTGGCCAGCCGGCCGTTAGTCTTTGTCTTTGTTGTGTACCAGTAAACCATGCTGATCACTACATCAGTCTCAGTGGTTTCTTCATGCGTCTAACCCACTACACTTCATTCAGATACATTGAAACAGTCACCAAAAATTACATATGGGTAGCAGATGAGGAGGATGTTGCTAGGAAGGGCCGATTAGAGTGAAAATAGGATTAAGGCAATTGGTAAGAGCTGTGAATTTTAAGAAGGCATCCTCAAGGAAGAGAAGAGGAGATTGGATTTATACCCCGCCCTTCACTACCCAAAGGAGTCTCCGAGCGGCTTACAAACTCCTTTCCCTTCCCCTCCCCACAACAGACACCCTGTGAGCACTGTTCCCTCTAAGCTGAGTTAGTGTGAGCAAGCTCACAGTTTTTTAGCCTCCAGCTCACACATTTTTGTCTTGGCTCAGGAAGGATGGCTCCAGAGCCCACTAATCTATGCAGCAGCCAAATTGTTCGCTCACAATTTTAATGCCAATAGCTCACAAAATAGAATTTTTGCTCACAAGACTCCATAGCTTAGAGCAAACATTGCCTGTGAGGTAGGTGGGCTGAGAGAGCTCTGACAGAAAGTGCTCTTTTCCAAAACAGCTCTGACAGAACTGTGGCTTGCCCAAGGTCATCCAGCAGCAGCAAGTGGAGGCGTGGGGAATCATACCTGGTTCACCCAGATTAGAGTCCACGCACCTAACCACTACACCAAACTGGCTCTCACACCAAACAGGGTTGACGATTTGCCATTGACCAGGAAAAGGATATAGCCCTTGATTGTAACAGATATTTGGAGCACCTGTGATTGGGACTGTATTTATGTCATGTTAAGTTTGTATTGCAGTTTATTTCCTTCATTTTTACCCCATCTTTCTTCCCAATGGGGACCCAGACTGGCCTATAACATTTTCCCCTTCTGCATTTTATCCTCACAACAACCCTGTGAGGTAGGTTAGACGAAGAGTGTGGGACCGGTCCAAGGACACTCAGTAAGTTTCCATAGCTGAGTGGGGATTCGAACCTAGGTCTCCCAGACCCTAGTCTGACATTGTTACACCAAGCTGGTATTTTGTGTTAGTCTCCTTGGGAACGGACAACTGAGAGGTGTGTGTGTGGTTTAAATGAACTAAAAATATGCCATCCCAACAGAAAACAAGGTGTTTATTTACTTAAAACAGTTGTATCAGACCCGTCCATCCAAAAGAACTTGCAAGGCACCACCCATAACTACCTTTTGGTACAGTCCACAAATAGAGAAAATCAATAAAATGACAAATATGAGCCAGGATACTAAACGCAGGTATCAGAATGGACCACAGTTCGGCCTCCGAACACCCTCCTAAGGATTGTGCTAAAAAACCTGACTGGGGCAAAGTAAAATCCTATTGGTGGGGAAGAGTTCTACTGAGCAAACTCTGGATTCAGACGACGTTGCTCCTTAACTGTGATTCCAGATCTGCCCATCTTTGTCTTTTGCACTGGCAGTCATGACCAGTGTTCCCTCTAAGCTGAGTTTGTGTGAGCTAGCTCACAGTTTTTTAGCCTCCGGCGCACACATTTTTGTCTTAGCTCAGGAAGGAGGGCTCCAGAGCAAACTGATTTATGCAGTAGCCATGGCGCTCACTCACAACTTTAATGCCAGTAGCTCACAAAGTAGAATTTTTGCTCACAAGACTCCACAGCTTAGAGGGAGTATTGGTCATGATCAGGGGTCATTTCCTGCAGGAGCGCACAGGAGCGGAGCTCCGGCAGTAAAGAGCTCAGGGGGCGGGCACATGCAACAAGCCCCACCCCCTGCTCCCAGCAGCCCTCAGTCAGAGCAAGAAGCAGCCAGGTAAGTTGCAGAGCTCCCCCCGGTCCAAAGAGTCCAGTGGCACTTTTAAGACCAAATTTTATTCAGGTACAAGCTCTCCTTCCTCTGTGAGGATAGATCTGCCCTTTCCCCCCCCCCCCCAATAGCTGTCAGCAAGCTGCCATAAGGTGGTGTGTTCTCTTATACATGTTATATTGTGCTCTGTCCATTCCCCCCCCTGTATCCTCCTGTGTAGGTATTTACTTTCTTTTGCTTACTACATCTGCGGAACTGCTCAAGGTCAACCAGCTGGAGGTGGGATGGAGTTATGGCGTTGCTTTGCTTATTATGTATCTGAACTTGTGAGAACTGAGCTTGTGTTTACGTTGTAGAACCATTGTGTTCCCAAGGAATTGAGCGCTAGTTTTATCTGCATTCCCGCCAGCGGGAATTGGACTCATTGGTCCTAACCTAGTTCAAGTTCCTTTATTATGTTACCCTTTGGGATCTGTAGTCATTCCTAACAATTCATATGTTCCTGAGCTAACCATCGCTTTATAATAAATTTGACTTTGTTCTTCAAACGTGGATTTATTTCGAATGCATGGGGAATCGGACAATAGCTAGCAATCCAAAACAGTCCAGTGGAGCCTGAGCGGTGGGTGTTGCCTTCTGACACACTTCTGGTGATGTCAGGGGGCGTGGCATATGCAAATAAGTTATACTAATGAGCTCCTGCACCTCTTTTTCTACGAAATGACCCCTGGTCACATTTTAACTCATATGGCGGTGTCTCCCAACCGGGTGCTATGGCGCTCACCAGGACTCTCCTTGGCGCCTGTCAAGCTTCTCAGAATGCCTTCGTAAGGCAGGGTTATTCGGCCCCCTCCCATGCTTGCATAGTAGAGAGGGAGGTATGACGTTTGACGCTGCCTCCTGTAGCAGTCATTTCGGGGCGGCGCTAGACCCTCTTGACATTCCCAAGGTGCCCACAGGGTCGTAAAGGTTTGGTTATGCCAGGCTTGGGCCGTTGTTGTGTAGTGCCAGAGCAATCGTAGTAAAACAGGTATGATGCGTTCTGCGAAAAGAGGTGCATTGAAAGTGCATTGATGTCCTACCCTGCCCTGCCTAATTCAACGATATGATTTCAACGTTAGATATGGTTTCTAGGTTTCGCCCTGGTCACTGGCAGGAGGGGGGTAGAGTTGCCAGATCCAGGTTGGGAAACTCCTAGAGATTTGTGAGTGGACCCTGAGGAGGACAGAGACCTCAGTGGGGTAGAATGGCATAAAGTCCACCCTCCAAAGCAACCATTTTCTCCAGGGAAATGGATCTTTGTAGTCTGGATCAGGCCCGTAGCCGATATTGTTTTGTTCAGGGGGCATTTAAATTTTTAAGGGGGCAGTTACATTACAGTTAAATTAACCTGAATGCCTGTCTTTAAAGGGGGAGCCTGTTTCTAGCTCTTCTAGCTCGGAGAGCCAGTTTGGTGCAGTGGTGAAGTGCGCGGACTAATATCTGGGAGAACCAGGTTCGAATCCCCACTCCTCCACTTGCACCTGGCTGGATGACCTTGGGCAAGCTTTTCTTGAAGGAGCTCTCTCAGTCTCACCGACCTCACAGGGTGTCTGTTGTGGGGAGGGGAAGGGAAAGGAGTTTGTCAGCCGCTCTGAGACACCTTTGGGTAGTGAAGGGCAGGGTATACATCCTATCTCTTCTCCTCCTCTTCTTCTTCCTTTCAAAGGACAAGGCAACGAGTGCATCAGTTCCTGGGGGGGGGGGAAACAACGCAGAGGGCATTTAATTACCTTCAGAAGACGTTTAAATGCCTTTTGAATTCCGTTCCACAGGGCAAGAAGGCTTAGAAGGGCACCCAAGAGCAGCGCCATCAGTACATCTCCAACAATCCCCCTTTCTGCTAGCCCAAGACTGCTGTATACCACCTAGGTCACGGTGAGTCTTTCAAAAGCATTCCCATGAGCCTTTGAGAAACATGCAAAAATAAGATTTCTGGCATGGCTATTTCTGGGGGCAGGGCTTTTGATTAAGGGGGCGGTGCCCCCCAAATGCCCCACTGTAACTACGGGCCTGGTCTGGATATGCTGTAATCCTAGGAGATCCCCAATGTTAGATCCTGTACTCAGGGGTCATTTCGTAGAAAAAGAGGTGCAGGAGCTCATTAGCATAGCTCATTAGCATAACTTATTTGCATAGGCCATACCCCCTGACATCTCTGGAAGTGTGTCAGAAGGCAACACCCACTGCTTAGGCTCCACTGGACTGTTTTGGATTGCTAGCTATTGGGGGGGGGGGAACGTGCAGATCTGTCCTCACAGAGGAGAGAGAGCTTGTACCTGAATAAAACTTGGTCTTAAAGGTGCCACTGGACTATTTTGGACCGGGGGGCTGGGGGGAGCTCTGCAGCTTACCTGGCTGCTTCTTGCTCTGACTGAGGGCTGCTGGGAGCAGGGGGTGGGGCATGTTGCATGTGCCCGCTCCCTGGGCTCTTTACTGCCGGAGCTCCGCTCCTGTGCGCTCCTGCAGGAAATGAGCCCTGCCTGTACTAAAGAGAAAAGGCAGGGATTGTGGTACTAACCAGAGACGTAGCATTCAGAGGACACACTTCAGCATCAGGCCCGGATTTGATACATTCAACAAACTAGGACACGGTGATCTAGAAAGAGGCACTGTGACAAAACAGGGTCAGCTGAAGGGGGTGTGAGCCCCTGCCTCCCACCCCATAATGTGCCACCCAAACAGAAATCACCAACAGGGTGTTCATGTCAGAACAGCCCGAAGGACCAAGTGAGACA